GTAGGCAGACGCGTTATCCATTGCGCCACGCGGCCACGATGTTGCAGAGCTAATGAGAGGCACTCTATCTAGCAACGCAATTATAAGCTGAGAGTATAGCAACCTTGCAACTGGGACCACTTTCGCCCCTCATGCTTGAAGTGATCGGACTCCCTAGGCACAAAATGTTTCGACCACGGCAGGATTCGAACCTGCAATCTTCTGCTCCGTAGGCAGACGCGTTATCCATTGCGCCACGCGGCCACGATGTTGCAGAGCTAATGAGAGGCACTCTATCTAGCAACGCAATTATAAGCTGTGAGTATAGCAACCTTGCAACTGAGGCCACTTTCCGCCCCTCATCCTTGAAGTGATCGACTCTCTAGGCACAAAATGTTACGACCACGGCAGGATTCGAACCTGCAATCTTCTGCTCCGTAGGCAGACGCGTTATCCATTGCGCCACGCGGCCACGATGTTGCAGTGCTAATGAGAGGCACTCTATCTAGCAAGCAATTATAAGCTGTGAGTAGTAGCAACCTTGCAACTGAGGCCACATCCGCCCCTAATCCTTGAAGTGATCGACTCTCTAGGCACAAAATGTTACGACCACGGCAGGATTCGAACCTGCAATCTTCTGCTCCGTAGGCAGACGCGTTATCCATTGCGCCACGCGGCCACGATGTTGCAGAGCTAATGAGAGGCACTCTATCTAGCAAGCAATTAGCTGCTGAGAGTATAGCAATCTTGCAACTGAGGCCACATCCGCCAATCCTTGAAGTGATCGACTTTCTAGGCACAAAATGTTACGACCACGGCAGGATTCGAACCTGCAATCTTCTGCTCCGTAGGCAGACGCGTTATCCATTGCGCCACGCGGCCACGATGTTGCAGCGCTAATGAGAGGCACTCTATCTAGCAAGCAATTATAAGCTGTGAGAGTAGCAATCTTGCAACTGAGGCCACATCCGCCCCTAATCCCTGCAGTGATCGACCCTTCTAGGCACAAAATGTTACGACCACGGCAGGATTCGAACCTGCAATCTTCTGCTCCGTAGGCAGACGCGTTATCCATTGCGCCACGCGGCCACGATGTTGCAGCGCTAATGAGAGGCACTCTATCTAGCAAGCAAATTATAAGCTGTGAGAGTAGCAATCTTGCAACTGAGGCCACATCCGCCCCTAATCCCTGCAGTGATCGACCCTCTAGGCACAAAATGTTACGACCACGGCAGGATTCGAACCTGCAATCTTCTGCTCCGTAGGCAGACGCGTTATCCATTGCGCCACGCGGCCACGATGTTGCAGAGCTAATGAGAGGCACTCTATCTAGCAAGCAATTATAAGCTGTGAGAGTAGCAATCTTGCAACTGAGGCCACATCCGCCCCTAATCCCTGCAGTGATCGACCCTCTAGGCACAAAATGTTACGACCACGGCAGGATTCGAACCTGCAATCTTCTGCTCCGTAGGCAGACGCGTTATCCATTGCGCCACGCGGCCACGATGTTGCAGCGCTAATGAGAGGCACTCTATCTAGCAAGCAATTATAAGCTGTGAGAGTAGCAATCTTGCAACTGAGGCCACATCCGCCCCTAATCCCTGCAGTGATCGACTCTCTAGGCACAAAATGTTACGACCACGGCAGGATTCGAACCTGCAATCTTCTGCTCCGTAGGCAGACGCGTTATCCATTGCGCCACGCGGCCACGATGTTGCAGTGCTAATGAGAGGCACTCTATCTAGCAAAGCAATTATAAGCTGTGAACAATATTGGCAACTGAGGCCACATCCGCCCCTAATCCTTGAAGTGATCGGACTCCCTAGGCACAAAATGTTCGACCACGGCAGGATTCGAACCTGCAATCTTCTGCTCCGTAGGCAGACGCGTTATCCATTGCGCCACGCGGCCACGATGTTGCAGAGCTAATGAGAGGCACTCTATCTAGCAAACAATTATAATGGTTGTGAATTAAGGTCAATACTGCAACTGCAGGCCACAATCCGCCCCTAATCCTTGAAGGATCGACTCTTCTAGGCGCAAAATGTTAGACTCAACGGCAGGATCCGAACCGCAATTCTCTGCTCGCGTATGGAGACGCTTATCCATTGCGCCACGCGGCCCACGATGTTTGCAGCGCATAATGAGAGGCGAATCTCTTATCTAGAGCAATTATACAGCTGTGAGAGGTAGTAGCAATCTTGCAACTGAGGCCACATCCGCCCCTAATCCCTGCAGTGATCGACCCTCTAGGCACAAAATGTTTACGACCACGGCAGGATTCGAACCTGCAATCTTCTGCTCCGTAGGCAGACGCGTTATCCATTGCGCCACGCGGCCACGATGTTGCAGAGCTAATGAGAGGCACTCTATCTAGCAAGCAATTATAAGCTGTGAGAGTAGCAATCTTGCAACTGAGGCCACATCCGCCCCTAATCCTTGAAGTGATCGACCTCTCTAGGCACAAAATGTTACGACCACGGCAGGATTCGAACCTGCAATCTTCTGCTCCGTAGGCAGACGCGTTATCCATTGCGCCACGCGGCCACGATGTTGCAGTGCTAATGAGAGCAGCTCTATCTAAGCAAACAATTATAAGCGTTAGTATAGCAATGTTGCAACGTTGAGGCCACTTCCGCCGTAATCTCCTGAATTGAATCGACTTTCTAGGCCAAACATGTTATCGACCACGGCAGGATTCGAACCTGCAATCTTCTGCTCCGTAGGCAGACGCGTTATCCATTGCGCCACGCGGCCACGATGTTGCAGCGCTAATGAGAGGCACTCTATCTAGCAAGCAATTATAAGCTGTGAGAGTAGCAATCTTGCAACTGAGGCCACATCCGCCCCTAATCCCTGCAGTGATCGACTCTCTAGGCACAAAATGTTACGACCACGGCAGGATTCGAACCTGCAATCTTCTGCTCCGTAGGCAGACGCGTTATCCATTGCGCCACGCGGCCACGATGTTGCAGCGCTAATGAGAGGCACTCTATCTAGCAAGCAATTATAAGCTGTGAGAGTAGCAATCTTGCAACTGAGGCCACATCCGCCCCTAATCCCTGCAGTGATCGACCCTCTAGGCACAAAATGTTACGACCACGGCAGGATTCGAACCTGCAATCTTCTGCTCCGTAGGCAGACGCGTTATCCATTGCGCCACGCGGCCACGATGTTGCAGTGCTAATGAGAGGCACTCTATCTAGCAAACAATTATAAGCTGTGAGTATAGCAATCTTGCAACTGAGGCCACATCCGCCCCTAATCCTTGAAGTGATCGACTCTCTAGGCACAAAATGTTACGACCACGGCAGGATTCGAACCTGCAATCTTCTGCTCCGTAGGCAGACGCGTTATCCATTGCGCCACGCGGCCACGATGTTGCAGCGCTAATGAGAGGCACTCTAGCTGCAAGGCAACTTATTAAGCTGTGAGGTAGCAAATCTTGCAACAGAGGCCAACATCCCCCGTAATCCTTGTAAAGTGATCGACTCTTCTAAGGCGCAAAATGTTACACAACGGGCAGGATTCGAACCTGCAATCTTCTGCTCCGTAGGCAGACGCGTTATCCATTGCGCCACGCGGCCACGATGTTGCAGTGCTAATGAGAGGCACTCTATCTAGCAAGCAATTATAAGCTGTGAGAGTAGCAATCTTGCAACTGAGGCCACATCCGCCCCTAATCCTTGAAGTGATCGACTCTCTAGGCACAAAATGTTACGACCACGGCAGGATTCGAACCTGCAATCTTCTGCTCCGTAGGCAGACGCGTTATCCATTGCGCCACGCGGCCACGATGTTGCAGAGCTAATGAGAGGCACTCTATCTAGCAACGCAATTATAAGCAGAGAGTATAGCTATCTATAGGGTATACATGCTGAAACGCAGTTTCCGTGGCGAAATTGGAAGTGCCTTCGATGTTAACCGTTACGCTGGTTTTCGAGTCCAGCCGTGAGCGAACTTCCGTGCACTGCTTACTACTTCTTGGCACCTTCTCAGTGACGAAAAAAATTACGGTGATGTGAAAATTCTTCTCGTTGGAAAAGAAAAGGAAGAAGAAGGAAAAAGAAAAATGTGAACACACTCACTGTTGAAACGATCTGTAGTGCTTCTGGAAGCATGAAAGCATTGTAGAGTGACTGTGCATGGTAGACCTTGTACTCAGGGAAATTAGGAAAGAGGCGTGATAATTGCGAATAGGCGTCCACGGCATTGATGAAGTCCTAGAAACGGGGTAAATGTGAACAAATGAATCTTACCGTATCACCTCTGTTCTTCTGCAGTGTTTATTTATCTTTATTTTTCCGAATTATTAATTTCTATCTTATTACTACATCAAGAAACAACACAATAAGAGTAACAGAATATTAGGTTTTTGGGAAGTGCGTGCTGTTTCCATGGGCCCAATGTCGAACATTGTTTTCTGTGTTAATTTTAGGGTATTGCTGTCACATTCTAACTTATTTAAAAGCGTATTTTTCGCTGTATTCAGTCGCTTGGTTTCTCCAGTTTTCAAGTGGTGTGAACTAGCTTGGATGAATAAACAACGGGCTTTCACAATTTCTCTGCTCATTGCAAATTGAGAAGGAAACTGCCAAAGTCAGGAGAATGGAGGATGTCAACGAGGCCTTTGTCACCGGAACGACGAATTGAGATTACGCACGAGCGGTTCAAGAAACTTGGAACCGGCTAGGAGCCTTAAGTTTTCTCTAGAGGTGTTGCTGTAGCCGTGACCAAGATGATATAACAGTTTTATTGGCTAACGTTTCGGCCTTATCGCCTTCGTCAGAGCCTGGAAAAAGTGACCTGTCATAGGTCACAACCACAGAACGACTTACCTTGAATGTACGGCCGGTTTTGCTTGAGACCACCATTAAACTGATTCCCCGTGGGTGGCTTCAGCTGACACAGCCCCTCGACTCGAACCCCGAAGGCCGATTGGCAGTTGAAGCCCAACACAGGTCAGCAAACGGGGCGAGCTCGTTTGTGATGGCCAGTCATTCGCCCTTTCTGTCCATTTTGGGGATTTTTATGGCCTATTCAAAACACTTCTGAAACTTGCGCTCAGAAGTCTGGGTTCTGGCATCGAAAATCCTAACCGTTACCTCAAACCCGCCACCATTGAATGTTCGATAGACATCATGACTCCAGGGGGGGGCGTGTCTTCTGGACTAGTCGCTTTAGAACCATCTAGTGCTCCTTTACTCTGCAGCACTAGTGCGCTTTGCCTTTTGCGTAGATAGTGCGTCTCGACAGTATGGTCGCTGGTCGAGATGCCCTCCCGCGAGCCGTCAATCAGCAGTTGACCGCAACTGCGGAGGAAACAGATATGATCGCTTATCTGCTCAAATCCCCTTACAGGTGCACTGTCCTTCTGGGAGGGAGGAGGACTGCTCGGTCTTCAGTGTGCGGATGTTACTTCTTAATGTCATGCACTAGTTGTGGGATGAAGTACAAGGGGGGAACCGAACCCCCTATGCTCCAGAAGTAAGGGCTGCGTTTTACTTTGGCGCAAGCGTAGCGTTAGCGCTCGCAGGTGACCCACCGGCAAGTGCCGAAAGAGGAAATCATATCGATCTAGCTTCACCAGCGTCACCAGCGGCACGCTGGCGTAGCGAGGGCACGGGAAGCATAGCTATCGATCTAGCTTCACCAGCGTTTCTCGAGCGTTTCTCCAGCGGCACCAGCGTTTTGCTAGCGCTTGCAGCGGCAGGGAGTAGAGACTATGTGGCCGTGAGAGACGCAGAAGCGATGTGCATTGTAGAGACTATGGGGCCGTCGGAGACGCAGAAGCGATGTGCATTGTAGAGACTAAGGGCGAGTGAGAGACGCGCAATCGATGTGTTTTGTACCCTCCAGCTCTCCCATAGTCTCTACTCCCCTGCCGCTGCAAACGCTAGCAAAACGCTGGTGAAACGCTGGAGAAACGCTGGCGTACGCTAGCGTGCGCTAGCGTACGCCAGCGTGCCGCTGGTGACGCTGGTGAAGCTAGATCGATATGCATCCTCTCTTCGGCACTGCCGCTGGCGTACGCTGGAAGCGCTACGCTACGCTGCGCTACGCTACGCTACGCTGCCGCAAAGTATAAACGCGCGCAGCCCTAAGGACAGCACCTAGATGTCTGAATGCGATCTAAGAGACTCCGCTGGGTCCATCTCGGTTCAATGTCTAGGAGGCGTGGAGTTTGATTTAACGTTAGGATTTTGATGACTAGGACCCCAGACTCCTGTTACGCCAAGACTTCGCGAAAGCGCTTTTGGGTAGGCGCTAAAATTCCAAAATGAAGCAGAAAGGCCGAACGCGCTGGCCATCACATAAGCGAGCTCGTCCGCTTTGCTGACTCTGTGTGGCTCAATTTGCCATCGGCTCGAGTCGGGGGGAGGCTAGGTCACGCTGAAGCCACCAGGGGAGTCAGTCACGGTGGTCTCAAAAGCAAAACCGTCGTACATTCGAAGGTAAGTCGTTTTGTGTTTGTGACGCTATGAGAGGTTTCTGGATCCTCTGGTCTGGGACGAGTTTACCTGAGGTTTGAAAAGATGTCCGAGGGTAGTTTCACTTTGATCTTTGACTTTCTTCCAGGCTCTCACGAAGCCGATAAGGCCGAAATGTTACCCAATAAAACTGTTATGCCATCTTGATCACGGCTACAATAACGCCTCAGAGAGAAAACCTCATAGTATGCCAAGATTCATCGAGGGTCGAACCTGGAGCTAGAGCCTTAAAGGCACAGTTCGCGACCGCAAATTGCGGGAAACGGAACTCAAATAGGCACAAAAAAGTGCTAAGTATCTGATTAGCGGAGAAAAGCAGCAGTAAAATGTTTATAGAGGAAAGATAACATAGTGGCTACTAGCTAGTAGCTAGCAGCCGGTGAGGGTCGGCATGGGCCTAAGGGGTGTCCATGGGCCTAATTAGTCAGCTTCTAGCGGAGTTCTTGCCGTTTTTCACATTTTGAAAGTAGCGCAGCCTCAAAAATCGCCTTCCGGATCGTCCGACACATTCGAGCGGTATAGCCTTCTTCATCGCGCGAAGTGGCCTTTAAGTATTAGGATCTGCGGAGGGATGGCCATGTTAATAGAATGTTCTGACAACGAATAGCCGTGAGTAATCAGTCGAAGTCACTGGCGAATGCAAAGCTGAAAGATAAATGCTCTAGAAAGCAACAGGCCGTGTAGTTGGGATCAGTAGATCTTCATCGCTTTCTAGATCTATGAGCTTTCTATCGACAGAATAAGCAATCCCGTGGCTGCTTTTGCAAGAAGAAATGTTGGAGTTAAATGGTTTTCTTTTCCACCGACTAAGCTTATTCGATTGTATTTCGTATTGTTGTGCGTGCGGATAGCGTGGGCTTATTCTGCCTAGGTACTTGATTCCCACCTGACGTGATAGTAGTAGAATATGCTAGCAGAGTACAAGACGGCGCACATTCTGTAAATTCACCTAAAATTTCTGGACAAATTTTTAAGTCTTTGCGCTGCAGAGCCGCTGGGTCGTGTTAGAGGGAGGCCTTATAAGCTTTGAAGCGAACCCACGGCCGTCTTCCACCAATTTGTCTTCGTGTCACAGGCATGAAGTCTGAGTTTGGCATCCATGCGTGGCCAGAACCCATCTTCTTACTACCTGGAACGCCCCAGCACTCGCAGCGGAAACGGTCATATGTGTCTCAACGTGAACGTACCGTGGGAGCACGCTGCACCTCATACTGAAGTATTCGAATCACCTCATTGTACTTTCCTTCTTTTATCTGTAAGTAGACGATAATTTGTATATAAGAGTGAACAAAAAATAGCTTCCCTAAAAAGCTTTCAAAATTCAAATATAAGTGTTGTTAACTTTTTCAATACTTGGAATTATCATCCTGCTGAGGGGTCTAGTGATAATTACCGTACCGAAGTTCTTACGTGATCAACAACAAAAACCACGCCTGCCCTCGAACAGTTTTGCAGAACTCTTGGAGCATTCATTGAATTCTAATAGTAAATTTCATTTTACCTGCTTCGTTGTCGAGCTTTCACTCGTAGCGCCCGCGTTCAATTTATTGAGGTTATGGGGCTCAGAGGATGACAGCAAGGTAGCAGAAAGTTCATTAGTGAAGTAAATGAAAAAAATCATTGGATATGCCCTATATAGGACCCCACGCCGAGCTGAGGTTGTACGTGTAAGGCGAAGAGAAGGCGCGGCCGCACGAGTTCTCACTTGTTGATATCAGCTGCTTCCCCCTTATCATCTCACCCTCACTTGGAAAGCGGGAGAGATTTAGTAGCAGAACAACCGCACCTACCAGTAGAACCATTTTACGAAGAACCGAACACCATTAGAAGATGAAATTGGGCGTAGTGTCGTCGCCAGGTGGGCGGGGTGGCCGACTCTTCACGAGCGGGCGCCGCTATTCTCTCGCATTTTTGAGTTGCGAAACTAAACTGGTACGTTCACCATCCCCATAGGGTGAGCTACAATAAACAAAGATGGCGTGAGAACAACAAATGAACGCGGGCGCTGCCTTTAAGGCTACCCCCGCGGAGGACTACAGTTCATGATTCGCTAGCTCTGTCGAATCATGCATAACTCATACCGGGATAGTAAAGAGTAGGTAGAACTCCGTTTCATGCCAGATTGGAACTGCCTGTCGCGGACAGCTGCCCCTAATGGGAATCACTGATCACTGCTCACGGCAGTGAGTAATGCATTGCCGTAACTTTTTGCCAACACTATCGCTTAACTTAACCATGGGTTATCATTTCTTCAACGTATTTTTCACCTAGGCGAATCTGTGTAGCCTCGTGAAAGTCATGCTTTCTGAGGCCTCAATTTCTTTGGTTCAAACAGGTGGTCTTGACGGAATCTGCACATTTGAACGACACTAAAGGACGTGAGTCCTGGATCGAGTACTTTTGCCACTCACATAATGAATATGCCAAGCACGCGGCCATGCGAGCAATATACACGCCCTCATATTGCGGACGCGGTGGGGGCGTCGCGCCGGAAGGAGTGCGCACACTGTTGAAGCCGTTCTCAGCCTTTTTTGTTGCAACGCGTATGCGACAAAAAGTGGTAGAAAACGAGTGATACGAAGGATATAATACAGTAATGCACTTGCCCGCTTCAAAAACTGGTGCAGAACGATTTTGCCAAACCGCACCAAAGCAGCCGCACTGCCACGCCCCACATACGGTCTCCGGCAATGATGAGACTGTACATTCTTGCTCAGTGCGGGTGCTCGGGGTGTCAGACGTGTAGGGTTTAGCCGATTCTCCACCAGTTGTTGAAGCAGGCAAGTGAAGCAATTTGTGGAAAATAGGCTGGCGCTGAAACGTTTGCCGCGTCAAACTAACTCCCATTGACGCATCCCTGCATCAGCAGCGGAAGCTAATATTCCTATCCTTGAAGACAGCTCCCGCGATAAAGTGTTATGGATAGTTTGCTGTCGTTATGGAGACAGTAGGCTGATGAATGTATCCCTCAAAAAAGAAAAAAAAGCAAAGAAGACGCCCTCAAGAAACACCAATGAACAGAATCTCTCCTTGACAGTGACACCGCCCTGTGGTCTCTGTGGAACCCCTGGCTAACAAATCGCTTTATCGCATATCCAAATAAAGTATATCATCCAATGCTCAAAGAAAATAATACGAAAAACAACAAAAACACGGACGAAAAACACTTAAAAGAAAATTACAAAAACTCGACTCCGATTTTGGAGGACGGTTACATGCATCTTTCAGATGTATGTCGGAGCTTCTGCACCAACAAAAAATTGCGATTGTCCGGTAGTTTTTCCACGTTATACCTTGGGAGATGGGTTGCAGTTGGCTGTGCATGTGCTCTCCTAATGAATAAAATGTAATAAAGGAGAGCAGAATTATTTATGGGCACGAGCGCGGTCAGCAAAAAGGACATGCAATTCCGATTAATGCCCGCCGCCCCAACAAAGAACAACTGAGCGGCCCTCCGTCAGAGGGCATCTAGCAAGTGGGCTGAGCGGGCGTTAGAACTAGAACTTTCAGCGGCTGTAGCTCGCTCCTCGCTCACTGTGGAGTGGGAAGTCTCTAGCTTGGGGCTGGACTACTTGCACAAGGAAGGACGACCTTGTACTACTTGGAGCGCGGGGGCTGTCTTTGAACTTCTCCCGTAATGCGATGGGGCGCGACATTCTGCACTTGACACTCTTTTTCACATGTTACATGAAACGACCCAAACTGGTACGGACGATGTAGCGCTGATTTCGTGACTTCACCGCAAAAAGATAGGAACGCGCTATGTATCACAGAACTTCGAAGTAATAAGTTCATACTCGACTATTAACTAGCACCTCCTTTTCGCTGACCAAAAACCGTAGAAACGTCACTTTTCGGTCTGGGAAATTTTATAATCATTTCAGTAACAGCACTCATATGTTCGTTTTCTTTCTTTCGTTTTCAATCTAGCGGTGTAAGCGTGAGCAAAATTAAATTTATGGAACCTACTGAAAAGCAAATGAGGAAATCATAATCTTGCGAAGAAAGGAAGGAAGGATTGGAAAAAAAAGAAAAATGTTGTTATATTTGTGAGCTCGCGCGATTTGTTATTCAGCTGAATAGAATAGATTCTTCAAGAACGACTAAGCTTTCTAGTGGCCCGCTAAGTAAAATATGAGACTCAACAATTTGAGCAAAAGAAACTTAGCTAACCATTCCATAGATGGTGCTGGTGAATTCGCCATCTTTGATAGGTGCAAAAGACATTCTTGGAT